TGACTTTTGCTTTTTGTGAAGTCAGCTTGAAACAAATTGTGCTACTCTTCGACTTTTTGTTCCTACATACAATGTCCTTTTCATGTAGTGCTTCTCCTGATTCATGTAGGTATTAGTAGATTCCACAGGACAGGGGGAAAAGGCAATCAGCTGTTTCAGTCATGATTAAAGACAGAAGTTTTCTTTCGCCATCTTAAGATTTCAAAAAGTTGTTCTTTTATTATTTCCAGATGGAAAAAAATACATAAAATGTATATTGCATTTTTTCCCACTAGCTGAAATATGCAATTATATCTACTAATGCAAAACACTTTGTTGGAAATATACATATATATATAACAACAGGAAACAGATGTTAACCTTAGAATGTTGAGATGCTTTAAAATGCAATTATACATGAGCCTCTGATGTCCTTCAAGCTCTCTCTGGGATATTAACTAATAGTTTTATTAAGTGATAAAAACTAGTATTCTGTGTGCAGTCTGTGGTGTGGGAAAATCTGTCAGGATTAACTAAGTATGACAATCCAGCACATGGCTGTATTTAATCACACCTATATGGTGAAGTAGTTGAGTGTAGCGTTAGATGTAGGGAGGATAAACAGTAAGACTGGAATGATCTTACATTATGGTTTTGGGGTAAAATGATGTACTTGTAATTGAGCACTTAGAACGTTTGGAAGATTGGTTTATGCAGATATCTGAAAATTTTCTTTTAATTCATTATTCTGCTTCCTTTTGAGCTGTTCATTCTGAGTTTCTCATTGTGACAAGTAAGTTAAAAAAAAAAAAAAGCACTAGTGGTACTTAGAGAACAAATGACAAGGACACAGTGCCTTCTCATTTCTGTCTTGTGTCTGATTAGTTGGCGTTAATAATCTCTGTTCTGTTAAAGTTAATAGTTATGGTCCTGAAATACTTGGTGAATAAAAACAAATTATCCATGCTGCATTTGATTCAGATTTATGCCTGAAAACATGGGAATATACTCAATAGAAATTCAGTGCTTGAAGTACTTATACCATCTTTTGTGTAGCTTTAGATACAGAAAGTACATGAAGAAAGAACTTCACAGTAGAAATTCATTTGCAATATTCTATTTTGTAGGAGCTTTGAGGGTCTAGAGCATGCTTGAAGCCTGTGACCTCAATAACTAGACTGTATAAGGGTTCCTGGATATGTAATGTGTATTGTGCATGCATTTCTGATACATAAGACAAACAATTCACTTTTTGAAGAATTCACTTTCTTTGATTCTGAGAGACTGATGTGCATCTTTCTAAAACAAAGCAATGCAGTGGAATTGTCAGTAATATTACTTAGTGCATAACTGAACATTCTGGATTTATTCCATTTAGGATTTTTACGTTTTTGATCCATACAGAGACTTGTAGTGACAGTTGAAAAATTCAATTAGTTAATGGATATTTTGTGCTTATTTAGTACAGGACCAAGTGAAATGATTTTAAATGAAAACAGTTGTATTCTTAATCCTGCAAGATATCTGCAATAGTAACTGCAAGACTTGCAGAAGTCATGATTATTTTTTATTGGGAGATAGCTGGAAGAAGCAGTTTTGACTAGAGTCTTATTTAAGTATGACCACTGACTACGTATCAGTTTAGTTCTTATAGGAAGTGTTGTTGAAAGTTCCCTTTTGGCACATGCCCCTGAAGCAGATCAAATGTGAGACCATCAGGTTTGTGCAAGTTATTGTAAGATTAAAAAAAACTACTAGGTCTGGGAGGTGTGTTTTTTTAACCCAGGTATTCTCAGGGTTAAACATTTTTGTATTCTCACATTTTAGTTTTTAGTTTTTAGTATTTGTTTTCTACGTTTAATATTTTGCAGCACCGTGTTAATTTTCTTACAGCAAAGAGGAAGAAAAATGAAAACAAATTTTTAAAAAATGCTTAGAGAAGTTCCTCAGTTGTGATTTTAAAAGACAATATGAAACTGTGGTAAGACAAAGTAGTTTCTCATTCTTTACTATATATGGTGTCTTCAGCACAGGTAAATACAAGTTATTTATGCTTTTATTTCCTGCTGTCCAGCAATATGTGGCTAGTTTTGTACAAAATTCAAAAGCCGCTACTATAATGGAAAGAATCGATCTGTGTTTTAAGGTTAAAAAAGACAAAACTTAAAAATATAAGTGTTGTTTAGTATGAATGCAGAGGGAAAGGAACAAAACCATAACTTTTAAAACATAATATTTCAAGATCTTGGTTGCGATAGAAATCTATGGATTTCTATCAAATGGTCATTAGCCTTGCAAAAGCTGGGCTAAAAATATGCTTTTATAGCTAGAAATTCTAAGTAGTAGTTGATTACCTTCAAAAAGAATTCACAAAGTGATCACTTAGTGAAGAGTCTGTTTTTCAGAAGTTGCCAACTTTGAGAGGAGTGAGAGAGAATTAATTCTTTCTATGTTGTAGAGTTATTTTTATGAACTTGGCAGATTCAGAAGCATATTATGAAACTTGGCTTTCATTGGTTTCTTGTATCATAAGTCTGTTTTTGAAGGTTGAGTGAAGTATTTTGAACTAAGAGTTAAGCAGTAGGGTTGTGGTATGCAGCTTGGTTCCAGCCCTTCTGCCATTTGTGATATTTTAGACATGCTACTGATGCAAAAAAATAAAAATAAAAATTGCATGACTACCAGAATGCTTTCTATAAACTTAATTTATAGAATTTTCTAAAGCTTAAATGAGGAAAAATTAAAGTTTTCCCCATTTTGTGACATTATTTTACAGAACTTGTTATGTTCTGTTTCATTTGAACAATGTATTCTAGCTGAATGTCTAAAATTAAGGACATAGGCAAGTGGTTCCATTTAAAAGGGCTTTTTATGGATGTTTGGTGGCATGTTCTTTACTCTTTCAGTCTCAAAGCTAACTACCCCTGGCTTCCACTGAGAGCCAGCTGCACACACCTTTGCTGTGCATCAAATTCTACACCCTCCATTATCAATATAATTATTACTGTATTATTTAGTTTACATATCTGGGAGAGGGTAGGTATTCCACTGAGTAATGTAATTGCTTATCATAAACACATAATAGAAGTTTAGACAGAAACCTTCAAAGCTGCTTTCTAAAGTGATTTGAGAGTTTTCAGGTTTTGTATATACATACTTCTTGGATGAAAGGTATGCACAAGAGTATACACAAGTAGTTGTTCTAAAATCACACAGTCACAGAACGGTTGGGGTTAGAAGGGACCTCTGCAGATCAAATCTTGTCCAAACCCCCTGCCAAGCAGGATCACCTAGAGCACATTGCACAGGATCACATCCAGGCAGAATTTGAATATTTTCAGAGAAGGAGACTCCACAGCCTCTCTGGGCAACCTGTTCAGTGCTCTGTCACCCTCACAGTAAAGAAGTGTTTTCTAATATTCAGCTGGAACTTTCTGCGTTTCAGTTTGTGCCCATGGCCCAGTGTGCTGGGCACAACTGAAAAGAGTCTGGCTCCATCCTCTTTACACCCTCCTTCCACGTATTTACATACATTGGTAAGATCCCCTCCTCTCAGTCTTCTCTTCTCCAAGCTAAACAGGCCTCACCCTCTCCTCATCACAGAGACGCTTCAGTGCCCTAATCATCTTCATAGCCCTTCTCTGGACTCGCTCCAGTAGCTCTATGTCTGGGGATGGAGGGTGAGGCTGACTGGCCTGCAGTTTTCTTTTCTTCCAGGCCTCAGGCACCTCCCTTGTTCTCCATGACCTTTCAAAGATGATGGAGAGTGGCCTAGCAATAACATTGACCAACTCCTTTAGCACCTGTGGGTGCATTCCACTGGGGGCCAGGTACTTGTGGGTGTGAAGTTTGCCTAAATGATCTCTAACTTGATACTCCTTTACCAAGGGAAAGTCATCTTTTCTCCAGACTTCCTCTCTTGTCTCTAGGGTTCAAGATTTCTGACATCTTGTCTTAGCAGTGAAGACTGAGGCAAAGAAGGCATTCAGAATTACTGCCTTCTGCGTATCCTTTGTTTTGCAGACATCTACCACATTTAGCAGCGGGCTCATGTTTTCCCTAATCATCTTTTTAGCTATTGATAAACTTGAAGAAGCCCTTCTTGTTGTCCTTGTTTGGTGTTTTTACCCTGCTGGGCAACTGAACTCCACCAAAACTGCTCTCTCACTTCCCCTACCCAGAAGAACAGAGGGAGAAGAAAATAAGATGGAAAGAAAAAAAAAAAGTTTCATGGGTCGAGATAAGGATAATTTAACCAAAGGGAAAAGGCAGTCTGGGGTTTGGTCTGGCTTTGATTTTGATTATTTTTTGGGACTCTCTGTTACCTATACCTTGTTTTCTTACTGTCCTTTTGTACCTGTACATAATGCATAACATCCCCTGCCTCTTTTCAAGCCATTACTGTGCTTTTAGCAGTCCACTGCTTAGTTCTATCCATTTTATAACCAAACGCGTTTAATCCCTGGAGTCTGTAATAACGCAGTTAAGAGATTTCAGACTAGTATTGGAGCAGTCTTGCAAATGATCAGATATACTTTAATTAGCAAATTGCCAACTCTAAGGATATTCCAATTGGAGACATTCATATATTGGCATCTGAGAACTCTTTTGACTCTGACAGGAAAGCAGCTAACCCTTGCCATCTAATGAAATTGAAAACAGCCACCGTCTGAAAGCACTGATTTTCACAATAATTTTCTTCTGAAGTTTTCTTCTAAATGGATAACTAGTACTACTTAGGGAATGTCAGGCCTATCTCAAAGGAAATGAAAAATGAAAATGAAAAAAAATGAAAATGAAATGAAAAATGAAAAATGAAAGCTTTCTTCTTTCTTTAAAAACAAAATTGTTTCCATATATTTTCATATGTCACTACTCTCTCAACTGGGCTACTGTAACTCAGTGTTAGTTGGGTTTCAGAAGTGTTACAAATGATATGTACCACATATGAATTTAAAGGAGATTTGTGTATTGGTTTCATAATCTTTTTTTTTTTTTTTTCCTTTTTGAATAACTCATAGGAAATGGCAAAGATTCTCAATCATCCAAGAGTGTATGCTTTTCTGCACATACCAGTCCAGTCAGCCTCTGACAGTGTGCTCATGGACATGAAAAGAGAATACTGCGTGGCAGACTTCAAACGAGTAGTGGATTTCCTTAAAGAAAAGTAAGTCTATTAATATTTGAGGAAAATAATAGTGGTTTGGAGTTTGTTGGCTGTTTTTTTGTTTGTTTGTTTGTTTTTGTTTATGGTTGCTTTTTTAATGTCAGGAACATGTGGCTGAAAACACAATAACTTGCAACTTCTTCATTAAGGTATTAAAAAAGAATGAACTTCTCTGAGCTTTCAAAGTCTGACTTTTTTTGTATGATCCTTGATGTGGTTTGACCCTTTGCTTGAGATTTTATAAGCATCTTAAATCTCTGCATGACATGCTTTTAATTTGTCGATATATTCCTAATCTTTTTCAAATAATACATTCTTAGATTATTTTTTATACTTAAACGCTATATGTAGACTGCTTGAAGTTAAAATTGTTGAAGTCTTCTTTAATGTGGCTTTTGAACATTGTATGCTTTGTGTTATGGAGATGAGCCAGCTCCAGGTAATGTAAATGTTTTTGTTTTTGTTTTTTAATAAACAGTATTTTATGTCCTTTGGCTGGTGTACATTTACATTGATAAAGCAATACTATCATCCTGCTTATGGAATGGGTGATTTATAGTATAGTTTTAAAATTATTTTCCTTAAGAACAGTTAATTGTAAGAAGTAAAAGTATATATCATAATGTTGTACTTATGCTGACCTGAACACAATAGTTCCATTTACATGCAAAGGTGTAACCACAAGTACTAATTTAATATCCAATGAAGTCTTCTTAGCTTTTAAAATTAAATATTGACATATTTCTGTGTGTATGACTGTGCCAATTGTCATAAAAACATCTGTCTGGAGAATTAATTCAGTTATCTTGTTTGGCTACTTCTGCTCAATCTAATATTTTTTTTATATGTTTCTTTTAATGATTTAAGAGGGGGGATTTAATTTTAGTCAAAGGTATCCCTTTGAATTACATTAAAATATTGGATATTAAAACAAAAGCAAACAGTTTCTCATAATCATTTTTATAGTTGATTTTTTCATGATTATTCAAAAATCCAGCAGTCTAGGCATGTAAAATGTCATGCAAGAGTTGCATGGGAATTGTGAAATATAAGAAAGAAAAGAAAGCTACAACAGAATAGAGTCTGTTTGCATTTTTTTTTTTTGTAGTTTATAGTATGTTCCTGTACATTTACAGCAATTGCTTGAAATGGAGCTGATTATAAAAATACAGGTTCACTATTTATTATCTTTGTTGCCATTATATGTTGATCTGGCATTAATTTTCCACCCTAAACAATGCACGCAGATTCTTGGTATTTTCATGTGGCTTTGGGTCAACTTTACTTTTAAATGAACAGCTATATTGTATTCCCACGTATCTTAGAACTCAGTCAGTTTATGTCTTAGTTGACTTGAAGCTGATTCATTGTTCTCTTCAGTAGTTCTAGCGTTGGCAGCTATTATCATAACAGCAGCTGGATTTTCGATAACCTATTATAGCTGGCACATGTTGAGGCATATGGAAATTTATTATATCATTCAGCTCTTGCACAGAGAAAAGCGTGAATTAGTTAATATCCAAATTTAAAACAGCTGGTCATTGAATATAAAGTAATCTACGACATACATCTTCTTCCACAGGCTTTTTGTAGTAAATTTTACAAGGAAAAGATAATTGTCTTGATGTCTTGTTTTTGAATAATAATAAACTTTATTTATCCTGCTTACTAAGAAACTACCAAACTATCTAGTAGTTCCTGTTAGGAAACAGTCTCTGAATGCTAAAATGGAAAATTCCTTATACCATATGGAAGCAGAATAAGGAAGCTATGCAGGACAGAGAAAACGTTTTGGATATTTGGACATGTGCACATCTGCAAAACTAATATTTTTTTCTTTTGCACTTAAGAGCCTAGTGTCTTCATTTGTAGTCTCTCCTCCTACGGCAGCAGCCAGCTATTGCATTCCATATAGATATTCCCATAAAGGTCTGAAAGCAAAGATTGCCAGGACTTAACATTGCTGCAGACAACTCCAGAGCCTACAGCCAAAATAGCTAAAATTAAATAAGTGTTTGAACTACTTTAATAGCCAAGAGGGATTATTTCCATCTTCCATTTATCAAATAGGAAAAATAAAACAAAAGTAGAACACCCTATATCTCCTTTTCATATTCCTAGGGTCATAAAGTCATCTTAGAAATTTCCTACAGGAAATGTACAGGGCCTTATCAGTATATTCCAAATGGCACCTTCATCTCTAAAATGTGACATCTACTGTGATAGTATCTTCACTTAAAATTCTATTAAACCAATAATTCCATAGGCTGACCCACTGAAGAAGTAAAGTCGCACACCAAAATATAATACGGTTATCAGTTAAGTGCTTAATAACTTGATTTCAGATGTCTGAGCAAATAAGCATGAAATACAGGAAGTAAAAATGAAGGGAAGAAAGAAAGAAAAAAAAAAGAACCATGTGATCTCTTTGGTTTTTGAATACCAAAGATACTAGGGACTCCTGAATCTTTCTTTTCCCCATCAGACCAATGAAATACTCTGGGAGTTCTTTTTCTCCCAGAAAAATAGTAAAATGTTTTCCTTCCTCTGGAGAGCCAAGAATTGATTGCAGAGGTATCTCCTTCTGAAGATGGGGATTTGTTCATATCCCACTGAGTGCAGAATGTTTTACAGAGAAGCTAGAGTTCCCCAAAACTTTTTTTTTTTTGCATTAAAACTCACTTTTTAAAAGAATGGAGCATTCTAGACCCTCTGAAATTGTGATACTATGCATCACTTTTTTTTTTTTTTTCCCCTCCCTTTGAGGACTCTTTCCTCAGGCAGAAACCCTAGAAGAGTACTTTAAAAACAAAGACTGATATTCCATTGCAGTTATTTGATATGCAGTACTTTGTATTTAGAGACCCTCTGTCCAGCCAGGTGACAACATTTTTGGTTTAGTATCCAGATGGATAACAAATTGTAGTTTGAAATTCAAACCCATCAGACTGAAAAGCTCTACTAGAGAAGCCTTGTTTTATACTCAGAAATGCATTCTTTAAATTTTGCTGTCCTTTTTGCACTTAAATTTCTTTAAATTCTAACATTCAGGAAAATGTTGTTGATGGGCCAGTAGCTGACCTAAAGATTTAATATTGATATATATATTTTATTAGTGAAAGAGTCATTTGTCAACTGTTCTAGAGAGGAACAGCATAAAAGAAATGAGGATTTGCAGATAAATTTAGAAGGTAGTCCTGTACAACTTGTGCTTCAATGAGGGTTCTTGCAGTTACTCTTTTATATTTTTTGGTCACTACCTGTGGATGTGGAGGGACTACTCCCAAAACTGACTGATACAGAGGAGGAGATATTCATTTGGATGAGATATTAATTTCAATATGTTTACATAAAACGGAACATAAGCAGCAGCTTCTAAATAAATTTATAGTCTTATATCAGAAATTCTTTTAATTGCAGGTTCATTTTTTCGAAATGTGAGTTGTCTTTTTCAAGTGGTCTGAACTTTCGAGATTCTGCATAAATTATATTTCAGAAAGATGGTGGTTTTAGTTACAAAAAGAGCAAGACTGATTTAATTATCTCAAAATTTTGAAACTTAATCCCCTGAAATTTACTTTGCTCATAAAGGCAAACAATTGGAGTATATTTCAGTTATAGAACCTGAATGTCATATTCTGTAATTACTCAAATATTCAGAGACAATGTGAATATATACCCATTAAAAATCCTTACACTGGTAATGTGTTTTCATATTTCTTGTTTGCAGTTGAGCGTACTGCATTATCTTACTTTTCTGGTTTGTAAAGCAATTGTGATGTTGATCAAAGCCTTTATTAATCTTTCCCTATTACGGCCCCTTCGTAAGGCAATAGGATAGTAACCCAACATCTAGACAAATGAGAGGGGGAGAGTGGAGAAGGAGATAGGGAAGTTTAGAGGCAGGCTGAAATGCTCTGTCTGTATTTTTGGAAGTAGCATGAAGCTGTGGAAAAGCTTTTTGCTTCCCAATTTTTCTGTGTGTGTGTCTGTGCGTGTGTTATGAAATGGAAGCATAACATTAATTGTGGGTGGCTGCTGCTGTTCACTCGGGATTGTCTCATAATTCATGCTGGAAATATGTGTGCTTTCCAATATGATCAGCAAACTTGGGCTGCCAGAAGCGAGAGTCAAGGCCTTGTCAGGCTAAAAGTTCTCTTCTTTTTTGTACCTTCTACTCCATTAAAATCAGAGGACTACTAGCAAGCCTGTTCTAGCCCCAGTAACTTTCACTGGTAATGAAGAATTGATTTTTCAGCATATGCAGGCTCACAATTACATGCAGTTGGAGAAAGAAAGTAAAGGACCAATAGTAAATGAGTGCAGTGGAAAATAAATTGAAATTTTGGAAGGTGATTAATCACTTGGATGTAAACTAGAACCTTAGTTGCCTGGCAAATAATGGATTATTGCTGCAGGTGTCTGAAGAAACTTAATATCCAAAATGAGAGAAGATGTTACATAGTCCTTTGAGACAACCGGCTTCAGGGATGCTATCTTCTTCCCTATTTCTTTACAAGGAGTTAAGCCAAAACCAGGTAGCTTCAGCAGCTTTCTAGGCCACCTCTTCATCCTTTTATTTTTACGGATTTTAAGTGATTCAGCAGTGTCTGTCTCGTGTCTCTCCTGATCTGCCCTGAGCTTCGTCTGTTTTGTTGCAGTGGCAGCCAGGTGAGGTGGCACCTCCTTTTGCACAGACACGACAGTCTGCTCAAGGGCAGAATAGCGTGGCTAGGAGTGGTCTCAGCTGCTGTCTCTTCCCAGTCATGCTGGATGTCTGCTACTTGTAGGTTTTCCAGCACTATCTGTATGTCTGCATCAAACTTTTCATAGTCTGCTTTCTCGACTAATATAATAAACTTTCTAATATAATTTTCTTTAATATGATTTTAATCCAGTATGTTTCGGTATAACTTTTTTTTTTTCCTCTCCAAGTGATTTCAGATGCAATAATTTGTTTCCAGTGTTCTAGTCTTCTGTTGTGACCTTGTTCTCATTCC